TATTGAGAGTAGATTGGGTGGGGGCTGTTTAACATCACCAATAACAGCCGAATTCGTATGATAATCGTTAGTCACATTTCCTGCAGGGTATATTTGAACATATGCATGTATGGAGGTATGTATATATATACTTCTAGTAAATGCTAGTCGCAGCCGTTTTTGCATTAATTTCACGTCATATGTACATTTACACACATACATATATTAAACACACGTAATACTTAGCATATAAGACACAAATGCTTTTATTTGAACATGCGTAGCCACATTACTGTTGAGTGTCTTGCAAATAACTTTTGCGGCAACAGGAAAATTTGCAAGAAATTGTTGTTCGCTGTTGCTTTGTTGAAGTGAAAATTAAGTCAATATATATAAATGTGTTAGTACTGCTATAAAATTCTTAGTATCTGCTAACAGGCAATGCGCTTACCTCATCTCGCTGTCATCTCTTGAAAGCGAAAGATTTTGCGTCTTAATCTACGTTTCTGTATGCAATGGGAATTTTCCGGCTTTAGCATCCGTTCTTCTTCTTAATTGACTTAGGCAGCGCTTAGTTATAGCAGAGTTCTCTCTATAATAGTTCTATAAAATACATCGTTTCCTCTTTTCTTTAGCGTTAAACCCAAGTTTAAATTACTCTCTATATAATCCTTCCATAGGGTTTTAAAATTTTTCTTTTGCTCTGCTTCAATCATCGAGACAAAAGGTAAATTGCAAATGGCAATTGCACACTGTTGCAAAAAAAAATTTCGTCCCCATTTGGCTGACCAGCTGTTGTCGTAGAACTCACACTTGAGTGTCTCCTTGCTATCAGTCTTTCCTAGCCAAGGCATACCATTGTTTATGCTTAGGAAAAAAGCTGAATCAATATTTAGAAAGCCCAGCCGCCAAATTGTCAGCTTCCACAATCCTATTTAACTTCAAGTGGTCCCTCATTATTCGTTCATCATAGTCGAGAGACGGCAAACAATATTTTTCATTGTCATAGTTTAGAAATTTAGATTCCCTTTTTGCTAGTGTTACATCTATTCGCTGCCATTCAGCAGGCTGCATCTCTGCTTTTCAATGAATATTGACTTCTTCTTAATATTTTTAACCCTACACTTTTTGCTTCTCTTAAAGGAATATGCGCCGGTTTGGTGCCACACATCTTTTCGAAAAATTGTTGAGCATTTTCTAAGAAGTTCAGCTTCACAAGATCGTTATGTTCAAATATTTCAAATATTACTGCCGCAGACACCGCTTACGCGATTTCGGCCGATTTAACAACATTGCGCCATTTGTTTCTTCTTTTTGCTGTTTGGCGCCAATTGGAAATACCAAGTACAGCGAGCTCCTTCTCTCCCTGGTCTTGCCAACAGAGTGGAGGTCTTCCTCACCGGCAGGTACGGCAACGAAAACTTTCAAAGCTGGATTATTCACATCCATCCGGACCACATGACCTGGCCAGCGTAGCCGCTGTTTCTTGATTCGCTGAACTATGCCAATGTCGCCGTATAATTCTTACAGTTCATCGTTCCATCGTTTCGATATTCGCAGTTGCCAATACGCAGAGGACCATAAATCTTACGCAAAACTTTTCTCTCGAAAATTCCTAACGCCGTCTCATCAGATGCTGTCATCGTCCATGCTTCCGCACTATATAGCAGGACGGGTATGATCAGCGACATATAGAGTTTGGTTATCGTTCATCGGGAAAGAACTTTATTTTTCAATTGCCTGCTCAGTCCTAAGTAGCACCTGTTAGCTAGAGTGATTCTGCGCTGGTTCTCTTTGTGTTGCAAATAACAAATTGATTTTCCAGCGGGACTAACGCCAGCCCTATCAGAGAACACAATAGAGTATGTTGCGTTTGCCATTTTTTAAGATTGGACCTCTGGTTGAGTGTAAGCGTACTTACCGGCACCTAGTAATTACCTGTAATTGCTGTGTCAAGGTTTTTTGAGCATTTAAAGAATTAAAGCTCGATTTTAAGCCGTAACAAAATCAGCCTGAGAGACTTGGTGACTTGTGATCAAGAGCGAAACACTTATAGCAATGTCAATTGAAATCGGTCGGGGTCGAAGAACCGTAAGCCGACAAAAACGGTCTGCAAACTGTGTATGGGATAGCAAGGCGAAGCTCTTAATGGACCGCCTAAAGTCCATCATCAATTGACTACCATCTGTTCCAGTCTTTTGGGGAATGATTTTGCTGGTGATGGATTGGGTTCAAGAGAAGTCTGTGAAAATTATTGTCCCAATTTTTTTTAATAGAGACAATGGTTTCTGTGACACAGCAAAACGGTGCATATTTGAAGTAAACCGTATAATCCTAACTAAATAAATCTTTCATTTCCATGCAAAAATAATTGAATTCTTTTTACTAGATGCCTATATATATTCATCTAATTATCATTATTTGCAATAGCTTTAATACCTTAAATAATCAAATTTTTTTTTTATAACATAATCACTAAATATAATTGTTAGAGCATAACAAAAAAATATTTTTTTGCATATTTTGTGGCGCTTTGACACGTGTTCATTATAATATTATGCATGCATTTCTTTAAAGTAAGTTAGTAACGCAAGAGACATGCTGGCTTGACCCAGTTTATGCCATATAATAGACTAAAGTGTAGAAACAAATACTTAAGTTTATATTGCATATATTAATTCCAGCGCAATGCAACGGCAGCGTGGCTAGCGATGAGATAACCGCTTTCGAATTACTACTCCTTCTCTGAAAGAGTTGGCGTGTCAAAGAGAGTGCTTACACAGCGTAATGCACAACGCGGGAGAGTGAGAGAAATTCGTATGTCTCGTGCAGGAATTAAGAGCGCGTGTAAGCAAGAAATTGCAGGATTGCAAGTGAGAGCGTAAGTTCGAAATCTGTGATGTATAAGAACTGGCGCGGTGTGAACAAATTGGTTTGCTCTTTTGTTTCAAAGAGAATAAAACCAACATTTTTTTGTTGTGCTTGGAAATATATTCTCTTACGCGTAGGTATGATATTTTTACATTTCCACCGTATTACTTCGCTGACACCTGTTGATTCTTAACTATTTTTTAGTATGAAAAGGTTTCTCTTTCAACAGCGTCGCTATATGAGAGACGCTTACGCTTTTAATCGAGTCATTTTTGCCTTTTTTGTAGTTATCATTTCTTTTTATAGCTTCTTACATATTTTTATCGCTCAAGAACAACTGAGAATATTGCTGATGTAGCTCAAGGTGTACAAAGAAAGCCCAGATTTGTCCATTCCTTCTTTGGAATTGGGCATTGAGCAAACGTCATTGTACTGAATTTTGCATAAAGTCTTAGTTCTTATGGCTTAAAAAATTCAGTTAAAATAATTACATAAGCCAAACAATCATCAGCAACGTTTTGTCTTTGCTGATTGGGTCCTTGAAATGCATGAAAATGATCAGAAATTGAATCGAAAAACCATCTGGACTGATGAGACCCATTTCCACCACGACGACAGAAAATCCAAAAAATCCTAAAAAATCCATCATCAACTTGTAAATGTTTGGCGCTTTTTAACTTTTTCGAAAATGAACCTGGAGCAACAGTTAAGGTGAATAGAGAGATGATTAACGATTTTAGATGACAGGAATTGAAGTATTGATCTGGACAACGTCTACTTTTAACAATACGCCATTACGTGCTACACTTGCAACGAAACCATTGTTGGAATTGAAATATAAAAATAACAACTCTCAAAAGAAAACTCTGTTCATATATGTTTGTACCTATTCTGGCTGAAAACCGCCCTAGGCCACATAATATATACAAAACATAGAGGAAAACGTTTGATGGTAAGAATCAACGCCACCTTTTTCTTGATTTTTAAAAATGGTCATATCGGACGCCTTGGGCTGATAGAATACCAGTGTTAAAGACCCATCCAAAGAAAACATAGAAGAACGTATTGAGCACGAACGTGAGTTCTTAACTTCATACGAAACTTCTCACTTATTCGACCTGATGATTCCTACTAACGTCAGATTATAAGGAGACTCTAGCAAACTTTTAGCTAATGGTAGACCGCAAGTAATATTTCTGTTCGCTCAATCGTAGACCATTCGCCTTTTTGCTTTTTAGCATCTATCAATTACACGTACTTCGGTTTGTTGGGTGTGTACGTGCGGAAAGAAAAACAATCATGAAATAGGTAACTGCTTAATCACAGTCAAGTTAATGCCAGGTACGTAAATCCGTCATTATTGGCTGATCAAAATCTCCCATATTTTCTACCTGGTAAAAAAGCATATTCGTGACGAAAGGTTGGCCCCAGTAATTTGTTATCAATTCTCAAGTATTTCAATAAAAATTTAAATCTCTCTTGGCTCACTACAGAAGCATATCGAGTTCCGGGAAGTGAGGCATCAATCAACTGGTCAGTAGACAAATGAACAGCCACTTGACTAAGTATTCCTATTAGAGCTCAGATCTATTTTTCATTGGCACCCCTGTAACTTGCTGGGTTTTTCTTTAAAAAATCACGTTTTCGTACCATTTATTTCTATGCTTGTCCATATCACAATTTAATCAGTAATATTGGATTGGAGTAAGGTTGAATGCAGAACCCAGGGTCGACAAAATGTTTAAAAGCTCGAATAGGTCCGTTATTTGTGCTTACAATATTTTTATTGTTATGTCCTGCCCTGGAGCCGTACTTCAGTAGTTGACCAGCTGTGGGTATTTTTTCCACGATGTAAACGTTGCATTTATGTAATGATTTTGTGTGAGAAAGATGAAGTTATTTCAGAATAAGTCGAATGTGAAGTGTAGCCGGGCATCTCAAAAACCGCTGGTAGTCTCGAAATTGCAAAGGAATATCTTTTATGCCCGTACGTAAAAAAATGAGAGTCAAGATCTCTCGACACATAAGAAGGCTGTTAATGCGGTAAGAATGCAATTGGTTGAAAGACCTGCAAAAGTAATTAATGGAGAATATTTGGAAAAACTATAGAGCGGTTTTCCATTTTTAATATTTATTTAAATTCATTTGTTAATACTAATAATATACCAGTTCTTTTGACGTTTCGAAATTTTCCCCTCTCTCTTTTGACCAGAATTATTATTATTTTTGCACATATATAAAATATATTACCTTTATTTAATATATTTCCTTGAATGCAGTTTTTTCAGCTCTCTTAAATTTTTTTCACTCTCAATGAAATTTTTCCAAAGTAAATAAATTTCCTGTATTTATACATAGATGTGGATATTTAACGCTCGGCGTAGTTTCGAAATAATCACATTCGGATGCTGATGAATCGCCTGCCTTATACATATAGGTACCGTGCATATTAGTAAGAGAATAATTGCAGGAGATTTCCAGGCAATATTTGCCAGAAGTGCAATTCTGACACAAAGCAGCACCACAACCGACAAATGCTGCTCGCTCATTGGCCATTGCTGTGAAGTGTCCGGTTGCATGAAAATCTTCCGAACTGAAACAAAGGAAAAAACTCTAAATTGGTAAGTAAATAAATAAAAACATAAAAAACTAAAAGGAAAAACAATAAATTATATATGATCCAAGCAGAGGTACTTTTTTCAATGACAAATCACGAGTGAGTTGTGTCAGGGTGTCATATTATTTTGGTTCAGTATTGTTTTGAATTTCATCATGGAAAAACTTAAGCCTGAACAACGTTCAACTTTATTACAAAAATTCACGTTCTCCATAGAATGTGTTTCGCGCACTTTGCTCAACTTATCGTCAATATAATCGGTCTCTTAAGCGTATTGTTCGCAACACCATCATCTATCTGACTGTGGTATGAAACAGCTTGGCGGATTTTACGTCGAGATCTTAAATTGAAATTGAAATTGAACTGAAACCACTTGACCTTTTTAAGCGACATCGCTCCGCTCCATCAGCTCTTGAAAACTTCGAAGTAGATTCAACAATTTCGAGCCAAAATTTGTTCTGCCATGCTGCCTATTTCTGGCTCAGTGGGTACGTTAATAAGCTAAGTTGCCGCATTAAGGACAATGAGCAACCTGATGAGATTTCAGAGCTGCCATTTCATCCAGATTGGTTTGTGGGTCGTTGGAATCATCGGACCGTGGCTACCGTTCTCGCGCCATGATAATCGAATATTTGATGCCGAAAATTAAAACTCTGGAGCTCATCGATATTCGGTTTCAACAAGACGACACCACTTCCCACACATCGCATAAATCAATAGATTTATTGAGAGAACACTCAGGTGAGCAGATAATTTCATATTTTGGGCGGGTCGATTGACTGCCAAGATCGTGTGATATTAAACCGTTAGACTTTTTTTGTGGGAATATATTTAACAATCCCGCCCCGATTCAGGCCTTGGAACAAAACATCGGCCGTCTCATTCGCCAGTTACCAGTAGAAATGCTAGAGCGAGTAATCGAAAATTGTACTCAACGAATGGACCATCTGAGTTGCAGCTGCTGCCAACATTTGAAAGAGATAGTCCTCAAAAAATAATTACTAAAAAATGTTCTTTCAAGTGAAATGGGAATCTTATTTAATTTGAATTTTCTGTTTATTATTTATTTAAAAAAGTATGGAACCTCGAAATGTAAAACCTTTTATAAATAAATGTGGCGCTTTGCAGCCGCTTAATTGATTTGCAGAATACGATAAATTTTTGAATGAAAAAAAAAACAATTAGTTTCTCAAAGCCTTTGAGAGGAAGTCTAGTCGAAAAGCAGCAGGATTAACATTTTATTATACAGCACGCGTCTTTACACATATTTTTTTCATCGAATTCTTATTTTTTTACTATGAAGTGTGAACCTTGATTTTGTATATAAAACATAAAGGCGGTCGTCTCGCCAATTTTTTGTGATTTTCGATCTATTTGAGATAATTTTCGTCTACTTTTTGCCACATGTTGGACAATACTTCAGCCACAACTTGAGGAATATTGGTCTTCGATAGTTAAAGGTTTATCCGCATAATCACGGTCTTTTGCGTAGTCACACAAAAAGAAAAAGATTCCAACGGTGTCGAATCGCCCAAAAGCGGTGGCCAATTAATACCCATAAAACGGAAAATTATGCGGCGGAAAAATTTCTCTCGCAGTAGAGCCATAGCAGACCATGTTGTATGATATGTGGCACACATTTGTTAAAACCATATGAAAACCTGCTTGGTTTGACAGTCCTCTACCTTTCATGTACGTGAAATGCTTTATAAATTTTGTATCGAAGTATGTAAGTGTAAGAGAGAGAAGAGAAATCAAAATCAATACGTATTGATTTAGCGTGAGGAGTTGAGTTGATTTAGCCATCTCCGTCTATCCAAATAACGCTAGCTAGTCTAGCAAGTTTCTGAGAAAAGAGAACATGAGTAACATCTATATGTACGAGTATATACTTCATTATATTTAAACGCTGATATCTCGGAACCGGTTAGAATTGACCTCTGAAGCATGTAGACGACCGATTTTTCGGATTGGAGACTTTAGGTAATACGTTTGTTAAAAGACTAGCTAAGAGCGTGAAGTGTGATGTTCTACCCAACTGACTAATTATATTTTGGCGCTGAAAATTATCAAAATCGGAGGACTATAAGAATTATTATTTAGTCTTTTAATCAAATGTCATATATGTATTTGATGTGGTCAAAAAAGTATAAAGACTTCGATGAGGCCAACAACATCTCTGCTTGTTTTATTTAAGTTTGATATCTTTAGCTTTTTTTTTGTAGGATACGGTTTTGAAAATATTATTTTTTTTTGTAAAAGAATCCTTTTTTAAACCTTAAATATAATTTTTGACGAAATAGAAGAGTTTTAATAAGGTGTATGTATGTATGTATGTAAATATATTTTTTATGTTATTTTTGTAATATCTTTTCTTTAGATGTATGGAATTTTTACACATTCCATATTCACTTTTTTAATTATTATTTTAAATTTAAAATATAATAAAATTCGAAATTATATTAAATAAGGAAAAAACTGATTTTTTTATAATAAAACATTGCTTAGATACTTTATAGGTTTAACAAGCTAACTTCACTTGGGTATAACGAGCTACTTACCCAGGAAATTTTTCCACCAATGATATGCCATCTCCTACCAACTCACACTCGGCCCACCACAAGTCAATTGATTGTACTATTCTAAAATCGATGTCGGTAAACATTTTAGTGCCACCAATTATATAGAGATTTTGTCCGGAAAACGGAAATCGTTCAGTGGAGTGGCATTTGTCATGCATCATGTGACAACGAGCCGCATGCTTTTCGGCTATATATGCCAACTCATCATCCCACAGTACCTCACGCATACGCGTCGCTTTTGGAAATTTCTTATTCTCCTTGCCAAATACTTGTTCACCGGAGGCCAATATATTGCGATATTTATTATGATTATCCACAACTAAACGCTTCAGTTTGTTCGTCATTGGCGCTAAATGCATTAAATCACCTCCACGAGGCTGGCGCATGTGTGTAGTAGTGAAGTAGTGAATAAAGTACATTAGTTTTTTGAATAATGGGAGAATGTCTAATCTTTCATTTTTTGGTACTCACCACGGTTTCAAAATTACACATAAAATGTTCGTTGGGCCCGCATATATCCTTCTGTTTATCGCAATAATAATAAGCGTCTGATGTGCATAAAACAGTGGACAACACTGTAATGAAGAGGATCTGGCAGTAAAAGGAAGACATTTCTTTATATGCAAGAGCTCCTGTTAATACAAAAATGCTTTAAGTATTTATAAAAAATGAAATTGAAAATAAAAGAAATTTCAAAAGTATTGATGTGTTGGAAAAAACATCAGTTTTCAAAATTTTATATTAATTATCTAAGGTATTTATAAAGCGAATGAGAGCAGGAGCACAAATATACAACAATTTCTGTATACTTTGTCTTTGCTTTCACTGAAAATGAAGTGGCTTTTAAAACAAACTTTTTCCCGGCACCCGGTGTGATAGTGACCATAGCCTAGCTCAAAGCTTCCGTGGAAGTCGTAAGATCGCGGATAGCCGGACGGCCTACAGCAGCATGTTAGTTGCGAAATAAGGTTGACCGAATAAGCAACCTTCGATGACGAGCGGAAGGAGCAGAAAAAGCATTACAAAAGCCAATAACTCCGATGATACTTCTGTGACCGTGGTGAATCGATAAAGCCACTTAAAAATAATCGTAACATGCAAAACAAACATTCGAGCCTGGCGGACCCATAATGAGCAACTTGCTAGTCAGCGTCCGTTCCATCATATTAAATGCGGCTGATATGTCAATCTCCCGATACACAGCGTGGCGCATTGGGAGTCCCTGGAAATTTCAGCTGGAACGTCTCTGCTAGTGCCATGGATAGGGTAATTTGAGCTTTGTTACGCGGGGTGTATGAGTAAACAGCCACTTCGGCCCTTGGTCAAGGAGTATGTAACGGACGCAGAAGTAGTAGCTGACGTTGCCATGAGCAAGCTTCAGTCCGTCCTTATTCCCCGTGACTGGTAAAGCGAGCACCGGGGTAGGAGCAATGTATCCAAAGGTATACCCGTTCCTGTATATTTCGGCCTTCCCCCTTAAACGCCCAGTATAATGGCTTGCAGAGTCTAGCAAAATTCCAAACGAGTCACGAAGAGTGTTACAAGAAGTGGGACACAACCAAAAAAGATAGGTTAACCTAACGATTTATTAAGAACGTGTCAGCCTTGATTGAGAGACAACATCGAGAAACATATTTATATCGGACTGTTTTTGTGGTGCTATGGTTGTTTGAAAGAATACCTCCGCAGATTCGGTCACAATAGTGGAACTGAATGTTCCCTCTACTATAGTTCCGAAGAAATGTCCTACACATATATTTTTCCCCGCTCGTGGTACGTATTGGATTGATCTGCTCTAGAGGGGATAATAAACAATGATGAAAGCAATAGCAGCCGAAGTTAAGGGTTTTAGTACGAAGACGTCCCATCTCGAAATTGTGACAAAGTTAGGCAATACTATAAGGTCACGGACCCGAATGAGGCGCATCTTTAGTGGACTATAAGAATCGTGCATGTCGGCCTCAAAAATGACTATATCTTCTGCGGATGCTCCCCTCTTAAACCAATAAAAAACTTTTTTTTTCGAACAAACCAGGTCAAATGGACCATCTTCCATTCATCAGGATTGCTGTTAGCAATAATTTTGGGGTGTTCCAATACTTATGTAGATTGTTTTACTGAAAATCACTGCCACAGGTGGTAATGAAAAGTTTTCCTTCCCTAATTTGGACCTCCTTGACAAGCTGTTTTCGGCTATGCTCCTCCTCCAATTTGTGGTTATTCGTCTTGGTGTTTTTCCAACAAATGAAGGGACCTACATACTAAGCGGCCTCCGAACGGCTGATGGTTTTTTATGAGCAGCTTTTTTTCATGTCTGAAATCCACTCTATAACTTTTGGATGTTGGTCGAACAGGCGAATTAGGAAGTAGTAAAACAGTTGCTGGAAAGATCACATGGATAATACCAAGTACGCCAAACTCAAGTACTTATATGCACTTTTCTAAAATAGTAATGAAAATAAACAATCTTCAGATACAACAGATCAAGTGACAACATCAGTAGCTTTGCTACCGATTAACTTTTTAACTTTTTATTTAAGTGAAGCTGAAAAAGATTTATTGCCAACAAGAAAACAAGAACAGCTTTACAGATAGGTTCTGAAATAAGTGAAACAGAAACCTCAGAATATGTTCCTATAGTTGAAGTATTGAATAAAGAATTCTATTGAAAAAATGTAACATAACCTTCAGGTAGTACAAATCCGATGAAAGTAATTTTAATTAATTAAATTATATATTGCTTTGATGCATTTGACTACAAGTAAACCCTAAATTCATAGAAAATAATTAATTATATGAATTAAAATTTATTTAACGCTGAAATTTCATTTCAGTCCAAATGCCACTCAACACAAAAATTTCTCTGCGCCTGATTTGAATTTCCATCATTCATGTTTTGTATTATAACTGACAGTTTTCGAACAGCTGCCATTCAAATCCCTTTTGAATTTGACATGTTTGTACGTCGAATTTTTAGAGGCACAAACAAAATGGGTGAGAAAAGTAAAAGAAAATAAATAAATTAAAATGCAACAAGAAGAAGGAGGTTAGGAATTTCAGTTTAGGTTTAAATGTTAATGCTTATATCTGACACACTGACTGCAGGGGGCTATATCATTCTCGTACATAAACCATATATAGATTTCCATTTTCGTATATACTTGAGCGCATGATACAAAAATTCTTTACGGTATTTTCTCTTCGAAATTTTCGAGGCAAAACGTGTTTGCTCAGTTACCTTTGATCTTGCCAAATTGAAGATTTTCTAATTATTTTTGGGGTTATCTTCTAAGCCTCTTTATTTATTAAAATCCTGGTTTTAAGCTAATTTTCTTAGGCGGCAGATGTAAGAAAAGAATTCGCTCTTTATTATAAATAAAATGAAGAGAATTGTAATTTTTAACTTATAACTTTTCTTGACTATACGAGAAACGTCCGTGGTTTGGCTATCTGGTTATATGGACACTTCAGGGAAGTGGGGTGCCGATGTGCTGACCGGAAAAGGGAACAATAATAGCCCCGGTAAACTCTGCATATGATGCAGCATACCCCTTTCCTGCAGATGACAGCAGGTGAACAGAAAGAAGATTTTACTCCTTTTTAACATGACCTACATAAGCTTAAGAACCGATTAAGGCAAGGTCCGTTTCTCAAATAACTCTTCTGTCACCGCACAGCTCTCAGTTGGCGATTTCTCGGAAATCTCTTCTTCGATTCCTGAAAAGAGCTCGCATCTTAAATCTCCTAACCTTCCTAAAATACACCAAATGGTTTGAGCATCTGAAAAAGTGAGAGGACTCATCTTCACAGAACCAATATAGGTATCATCACGGGATCAGGGTCCGTGTTCGAGTAACTTGTTAACCTAACTAGCTGACTTGACTTTAAAATTTTAATATATTTAGCGGTTAAATTGAATTGAATAGTTTTTGGAAATTTATTTGACTTTAAACATTTAAAAAAAATGAATATTCTCCACATATTTTGTATTTCAAAAAGGTTGATATTTTTTAAAAAAAAGGGCAGCACGATCCCTTGCAGGTTGGGGGTTAAAGAATTTACCCGAGGTAAGGCATGCCTGTCGTAAGAGGCGACTTAAATCTAATAGTTCCCGTGTCCGTCGGGTCTTTATACCGGAAAGAACCGAACCCGAAAGTACTTTGGGGAATATTTTTGTGGTTACAAAAACAATAAAAATAACAAAAAGACAAAACACGTTCAATGTGAGATAGCTATAAAGCCGACTGCGAAGAGAGAATATTGGTATGCTACCGCTGGACAGAACGACGTACAGACAAGCACTGAACGCTATTCACCAGGAGTCAGTCAACACCTTCAAGGACTCCCTTCCAGTGTATGGCGTACTCGGAGAAAAACCACCACCTATAGCAGACAACGAGCTCGAGCTGCCTAGAGAGACCCGCGTGACCCTGAAAGAACTTAGGTCTGGATATTGTAGTATGTTAAACTCCTACTTATCCAGACTAGACCCCAGCATACTCAACGTATGCGCTGCATTCGGAGAGTCTCCGCACGACACTAACCACCTCTTCACATGCCCTTTCAAATCAACTCATCTAACCCCCCTCTCCCTCTGGTCCAACCCCGTCGAAACAGCTCATTTCCACTAGATGACCTTGGCGACTTAGACTGAGAGCGAGAATAAAACTGCCTTTAAATTATTGGGTCATACTTGAGTATTATACCAAATTTCTTGCTTACTTGGCGCTTGCCAGTTTAATCTACCCGAGAAGAATAAACTCGAGCAGATTTTTAAGTCGTAGATAGTTTTGTATGCTTTGGAGCCAGTGTTAACACCAACAACAATATTCATCGCAGAGTCACTCTCCCAACAGGTGTTGCTGAACAGAGTAGCTATTTGAAAAGCTAAGTCCTCTCCCGACAAACCAAAACCAAACTCCACAATTACAGCAGTTGTGGATTCTTTGCTTCGTCGCCCGAATGTTTTAAGCCAAATTGTCAAATATAAAATAGAAAAAAGAAAAATTCTTAGTAAAGAAAAGTAGTATTGATTGGTGAATATGTATGATTCTGTACAGTAAAGTAGGTATTAGCGCAAAGCTAACTATTCCTGAGAATGTGCAAATGGTTTTCTAATGAGCATCAAAAGTAAGAGAAATAAGTAATACTTGCCACATACCGCCAATATTGCAGAATCACTTCTCTCTGTAGAAATGTAGCAAAAAAGCATAACTTGAAGAAGTGTTGTACAAACCAATGAAGGATCAAAGGCGCCAATTACTAAGGTATGAAGTGTAAGACAACTCCAATCCACGTTTATATGGCTAAAAAGAGTGATAATTTAAGGCCGGAGATGAAGTAGAGTCTAAAGTTTCAAGTTTGAAACAAAGTATTTTATGTTCATAGACAGATAAAAAATATTATACACACACTTGAGTGGAAAAGGACGTCAAACTTTTACCACAAGCAACCACAAACAAGAACGAATTCCTTGCTTAGAGGGAAAAAAATTGTAAGAAAAACTTTCAAGTTATAACAATGTTGGTTTTTTTTTTTAATAATTGTATGGAGTAGATCGACGGTAGAAAATTGGTAAAAGGTATAGCGGACGGGTTTGCTTGTGGCTCAGTGACATCAAGTTGCATGCAGAAAATAATTTTTTTCCATTTTGTGTTTTTTTATTTATCTTTATTTATCGATACAC